AACATCCCCCCACAGAGGCTGAGTCGATCAGGGTGCAGTAGAGCACTAATGGGTCACACAATATACCTCTGATCCCTTGAGGCTTCCTCATCCCCTGCTATCATAACCCCAGTGCCGCTTCCCAATCTAGACTAGATGGGAGCATGTGATAAAACTCACAGCACATGGGACCCAGGAACAGGAATGGGAATAGAGATACCCAAAGGGTAGGGGGAAGGGTAGGAGAGGTGGAGAGGGAGGGGGGAACCAATCACAATGAATGACACATAACCACACACCCCCATTTGGGGAAGAACAACAGAAACCAAAGGGGAAGGGAGTCAGCGGTCGGAGTGAGATTAGAAAATAATTAACAATCTACAATCTATCAAGGGGCCATGAGGGGCGGGGGGCGGGGAAGAGGGAGGGAAAGAAAGAGGAGCTGATCCCAAGGGGTCAATGGAGAGTAAATGTTTAGAAAAGAACTATGGAACATATGTATGAATATGTCGGATACAATTGATATATGCATTGTAACAAGAGTTATAAGAGCCCCCAATAAAATGATTATAAAAAAAAAATCTCCTTTCTCCTCTGCTTGCTCTGTGCTTCCCACCATTCCCACCAAGGCGTCCTAGGCCAGACTGTTGTACCTGCATTGAGCATGCCAGGAATACATGAGGCCTCTGGAAAGTCAGTTCCATTTCTAATTTTTTTTGAGGAAGCACCATACTGTTTTCTATAGTGGTTGTACCATTTTACAGTCCCACCACCTTAGCATAAATGCTCCAATTTGCCCATGTCATTGTTAATAATTGTTGTTTTCTATTTTTTTTCATTGCCATCTTAGGAGTGAGACAGATCCTCATTATAGTTTTGATTTGCATCTATGGCAAGGGTGGGTAAGTAATGGCTAATGATCATGAGCATCTTTTCATGTGTTTTTTAGCCACCTGAATGTACTCTTTGGTGAAGTTCATATCCTTTGCCAATTGTTTGAATGGGTTATTTATCTTTTTATTGTTCAGTTGCAGAGTCTCATAAACATAATATCCAATATACTGTGCTGATATTAGATTATATTGTACTGTGTTCGATTATTAGATTGTATTAAATTAGATATTCGATTGTATTGTACTCTAATTCTTTATCTTGTTGGTTAGCCTGCATCAGTTCGGACTATTTTCATTTGCAAGGAACTTCTTAGCTTGCTTTCTACAGTACCCAGTACGACAACATGCATATACAACAAGCTTCCTAAATACCGTTTTCTTATGATGGTCTCAATTTGAATTTCATTATTTTAGTTCTTGGATTCTGAATTTTTAAGAAATAGTATCAGATTCAGAATAACTTAAAACAATGAAGATAAAGCTCCTGTGAATTGGTGATGATAATGTCTGGGTGCTCTGTTATTTCTGTTTTTGCTGTAGTTCTTCAAGTTTATTAGAAGCTGGGGAAAAGAATTTGGGTGAGGCATCTCTAGAGTACCAATTCTAGGGACAAATATGTGGACATAAGACTTGTTTTGTGGAAATCTATAGTAACCCGAGGAGCACTGATGGTGTACTGCATATGCATTGGGCTGATAACCACAAAGGCAGCAGTTCAAAACCACCAGCAACTCTGCAGGAGAAAGACAAAGATCTTTACTCCCATAAAGATTTACAGTCTCGGAAGCCTACAGGGCTGCTATGAGTCAGAATTGAATTCACAGAAGTGAATCTTGAGTTCATGGTAACCTACTCATCTCACAGTGACCCTATAGGACAGAGAAGAACTGCCCCCCCCCCCTGTGAGTTTCTGTGACTCTAACTCTTCACAGGTGTAAGAAGTCTCATCTTTCGTCTGCAGAGTTGCTGGTAATTTTGAACTACTGGTAATTTTGAACTACTGACCTTGTAGTTAGCAGCCCAGTGAGTAATACATTATACTACCAGGGTAGATATGAGAAGCAAACAACTCAGTAGTAGTGAGTTTGAGTTTTGAGATGGTAACCTAAGGGCTGGTGGCAAAGTGGGTTAAGAATATGGCAGCTAACGACAAGGTTGGTGGCTCAAATTCACCAGCCACTCTGCAGGAGAAAGATGAGGCTGGCTGCTCTCATAAAGATTCGGAAACCCAATAGAGCAGCTCTACTCTGTCCTTTCGGGTCTCTAAGAGTTGAAATTGCCTTCATAGCTGTACGTTTGATTCTTTTGTTTGGATGGTAACCTAGTTACTTCCCTGATTAATCTCTAGCATCGGCAGATGGGACATATGGGAGGAAATTAAGCTACCCCTGGCTAGAGTGGGTTACAGTTTGAATATTTCATTCTACATATCTGAGTACATGCCAAATTTAAATCAGAGTGACTTATCGATTCTTCCTTTAATATTATCTATGCCCTTTCCCCTGGCATGAATGTAGTACCTACAGAGAATGTAAGCATACTACATTCAAGTGAGTGGACTTTGATTTTTGTTCCAGAGAAGCCTTTTAGACCTTCCTTTGGCCTGATGATAATGTGTGTGCATTTGTGTGAATAGGTTGACTAGGGTTCAAATAATTGCTGAAACCATTATTAATTAATATTACCCACTGAAATGGTTTTGTCGCGTGACTTATTGCCTAGATATTAGGATATACTACGATTCTTTTAAAAATGAGAAAGCCTATAAACCACTAATGTTGTTGTGGTTAGGTACTATCAAGTCCGTTCTGACCCACAGTGACTTCATGCACAACAGAAAAAAATATTGCTGGTCCTGCGCCATCCTCACAATTATTTCTATGCTTGATCCCAATGTTGCAGTCACGGTGTCAATCCATCTCCTTGAGGGCCTTCTTCTATTTTGCTGTCCATCTACTTTACCAAGCATGCTGTCCTTCTCCAGGGACTGCTCTCTCCTGGCAACATGTCCAAAGTCTGTCAGATGAAGCCTTGCCATCCTTGCCTCCAAGGAGCACTCTGGCCACACTTCTTCCAAGAAAGAGCTGTTTGTCCTTTTAGCTGTCTATATTCTTCTCCAGGGCTACAATTCATATGCATCGATTCTTCTTCAGTCTCTTTATTCAATGTCCAACTTTCATATGCATATGAAGCAAATGGAGAATACCATGGCTTGGGTCAGGCCCACCTTAGTCCTCAGAGTAACGTCCCTGCTTTTCAATACTCTAAAGAGGCCTATTGCAAAGATTCACTAAGGGTGCAGAGTAAATGTCAAGGCAATGAATGGTGGAAGGACACAATTTTCCTTAATGGCTACTGCTCCCAAAATGTTTCCTCAAATAAATGACAAGTTGATCCACAGGGAACAGCAAAGCTGTAAGCCAGCTCTGCTCCAGAGCTAGTTTAGTTGATGATAGGTCAACCTGGTTGATGACAATGTTATTCAGAGGGTACACATTTGGTTCTGGTGAGCTCTCCTTCACTGTTTTCCTGGAACTCCTAAGGAAGTCCCAAGAATTATCTACAACCACTAAAGAAATGTTTGTTCTTGCTCTTTGTCTAATTTTTCCCCCCCATAAAAGTAAGATAAGCCTTTTACTCCACAATATGCAGTGATAGAGGAAAGAAAATAAAGAACAATATTGTTTTTACCACGTGTAGCATTTAGGGTATACCAGTTTTTTCCGGTTATTTTTCCTCCATGTATGTTTATACATATTTTAAATTACCAAGCACATACCATTTTGTAATTGCAAATATGATAAGCATATTCTTTATAACAATTACTTTTGATTGTATAATATTGTATTCTATGGCTATATATATCTATCCATTCTCATATTATTGGTAAGTTTGATTGCTAATTATTGGTTATATTTATCATTTTGATGAATATTTTGTGCATAAAATTTATTTCTGCCTATAATTATTTTCTCACAAATGGAATTACTGGCATATGCATTCTTATAATTTTGATACATATCACCAAATCCAGTTGTAAAAGAGTGATACCAATTTACACTGCCACAAGTAAAGTATAAAATTGTTTAGTTTATCATACTTCCTGCTTTGTCTTCACTTAACTTGACATTTAGATACTAATATAATTGATATCACTAAACTGTACACCAAAAAGTGTTGAATTGAAAAGTGTGGTGTTATACATGTTGTTTTAAAAAAATAAAAGCAGCTGTTGAGGCTGCTTATGCACAACAAATAACTTAATACATTTGTTTCTTGGTGTGAAAGGTTAGGGGCATGGTTTCAAGGAACATCCTGATTAAGCCTAAAATTGGTTCGTTAGTATTTCTGCCCTACATCTTAGTTTATTGTGGACTGACTGATACCTTTAAAGTTAGCAAGAGCCAATCCAAGGTGCAAAAATTGGTGTCTATTCACTTCTAGCAATAGAGGAAAAAGGAAATTCAGGAATCGTAGGAGGAAATTGAATATGTGCCTGGTTGCAACTGTCTCCTTTGTCATGTGACTAGAATTAGATGGTGACCAGATATCAAAATGCTAAATATTTTTATCACATATTCTATAAAACAATCGTGATCCAGAGAAGAAAAATGTGGAACAGAATTTTTTAGATTTGCAGATCTTAAAATTTCTAGATTGAGTCCATTGAGTCCCCCAAACGATTGACCTGACATAATCTTTAAATCCTAAAACAAAACAAAAAACTATCCCTTGAAGTTTTCTTTGAACCAAAAAAAGTTTACCTTAATTAGTAATGTATATCTACTTTGAGTATTTTGCCTGAAAAGAATTCTCTATGTGAGATCAATTTGACAATGACAGTTCAAAACGCCTATTGGAAATCTATGGGGCTGTGAGAGAAAGATAATGGTGGTGGATTAATTTGGAAAATGATAACAAGAACGGCAGCACAACTCGAGGAATTGTAGAAATTGTTGAAATACTGTATCTTTGACTGTGTATACTTGTACCACAACACAAATATTATAAAAACAAAGGATAAACTTCAGGAATAGAAACTCACATTGCATATGATAATCAAAACGGAATCTGCCATGTTACGGTATGGTACAACATTAACTTCTTTCAGTCACTATAATTACTTACCTGGACCCAATAGGTATTAACCAGAACTTCTTGTTATTTCCAAACACCTGCTGGATATTTTTGATGAAGCCAAGGTTGAACCCATTTTTTTCTAAGCCACTTGTAAACACTGGAGTGCAGAAGGCCTCTTGGCCAGGGAAGGGGAGTTGAAGAAAAGAGACAGAAAGCAACAAAGAAACAAATTTAAGGATGGTTGTGATTTTACAGTTCTCCATAATATGACATAGTTATATAACATTTGTTTTTATTCTGATACACTTTCATTCTTAGTTATTTCTAAATTACTTAGTAAAAACAAGTACAGAGTAAGATTATAAATCAATATAAAGTGGTATATTGGTTAGGTTTATTGATTAAAGGTAAAGGAGACATATGCTGGTAGGAATAATTTAGCAGTCATGAAGCAGTATGTGTTTTGTACTGCTAAATATGAAGAGCAAAAAAGCAAATTTAGCTGTATTTTATTTGAACCATAGAAAACCAGCCAAACAGTCCCCATCTTTAGAGCTTGGAAACAAAGTAATGACACACAAAGAGATGGTAACTACATTGATTTGGTTCAAAACATTTCAGGAACTAAATTCTCAGTCTATTTTAAGGCAACTGACTGTGTGGGCCATAAAAACATGAATAGTTTTAGGAAGAATAGGAATCTCATAACACTCCATGGTGCTCATGTGGAACCTGTACATGGCTCAAGAGGCAGTTATAGGAACAGAATAAGGGCATACTGGATGGTTTATAATCAGGAAAGCTGTGTATCAGCGTTGTACCCCTTCACCATACTTATTCCATCTGTATGCTGAGCAAATCATCAAAGAAATTGGATAATACGAAGAATAATGTGGCATTCGGTTTGAAGGAAGACTTATTAAGAACATTCGGGAGAAGATGGTCATCAGATAACAAGTACAGGAAGAGCTCCAAAGAAACCACCAGAGAAGGACCACAGAGAAGGATATCCTACACTTCCTCACACTGAGGTTCTTAACAGAAAGATAAACAGATGCAATCTGTTAAAGGGAAAGAGCAGCAACACCTGCCAACAGAATCCGCTTTGTTCTTGGCCACCAGCACAAGCAGGGAGAGTGCTTTCTTACTGCCCCAGGGACATAACTTGGGGCAGAGATCAACACCACTCGAAAATTTGGCTTTACACACAAGCCTGGAAAGTTTGTCAACATCTACAACCACTATGGTAAGCGATATGGCACTACCTAAAGCAACTGGGAATGGAAATCCCATATGATCCAGCAGTACCACTATTGAGTACATACCCAAAAGAAATAAAAGGCAAAAGTGGTTGTGTGCCCTCCGATGTTTATAGCAGCACAGCTCACAATAGCAAGAAACTGGAAGCAGCCCAAATGCCCAACAGTAGAAAGATGGATTAAAAAAATATGGTACATACACACTGTGGAATACTATGCAACTGTAAAAAAAACCAACGATGAAAGCTTGAAGTATTGTATGATATGGAAGGACCTGGAAAACCTTATGCTGAGTGATGGTAGTCAATCACAAAAGGACAAATACTGTTTGAGTGTACTACTCTAAGGAAATCCATAAAATAAATAAATCTTAGAGCCCGATTCCCAAACAAAGGGGGAGAGAGCCTGTCTACAATCACAAACCATAAGTCACCCCCTTATATACACATCTTGAGAACCACCTTGAAAAAGGAGACCTCACATCAGCTTGGATCACTCCTTCAAGAAGGGGGGAAGGGAGAAGATCACCCGTTTGATGCCATACAACACTAAGAAAATGTCTTGCCAAATCAACAGACACTTTACAGGAGTGAGAAAGAAACCTTGCCAGAAAGTCAGGTCAAGACCCGGGGAAGGGAGCATCTAGATTTTAGAGGAGGCATGTATATGTCTATTGGGGGGCAGGGTTTATGGGAAGGAGAAACCTCACATAGGGAAGGGATGTTCAACAATAATGAGAGAAACCTCTAAGGGGAAATTAAGCCCAGTACGATGTTCATGGTTAGACACTTTTGAATTAGTTTCTTCCAAACCCTTGGTGAACCATGCCAAGGGCTATATGCTACAATGACCTTAGACTCTGTCCTTTCAGGGAACATGGCATCCCCCAAAGGCCACACCAGAAGAACTCAACATGGATATCCAACAGAATGAATTGGGCTCTACCTCAATATTACCTATAACCTTTGGGTTTAAGACCTAAATTCCCTGGTAAGAGAAGAAACAAATGACAGCCACCCCAAGACTAGAATTGGCAGTCGCTGGACATTGGTAAGGATCCCTGCATTGGCAGGCATCCAATGAAAGGTGGCCCAGAACCACCATACAGTTATTATTTTAATGCCCTTCTCACTTTATTATGACATGTATTAATCTGACAGGCAAGGAACTGCTCTTGTAAAGGAAATGTTACTGGGAATTTCCCCCTAGCAGCAACCATTATAATCAATGTAAACATAGTTTAATGATTTAAGAACTCAATCTGCACAAATCAACAACTCAGGGGTGGTAGTTCGCAGCTAGACTATATTTTTATAACCTCCTTTTCGCAAAAGTTTGTTAAATTCTATGCCATTGAATAAATTAATGATGCTACCAATAGAATGGCCTTATACCTCAGGGGGATGAATGATAATGTCATAAAATGATCATGAGATCTCTAAAGTCAAGCAGAGTTGTAAATAATATTTGGACAAACGAATAGATTCTGGGCTCCCACTTAATTGTAGCCCCAATCCAAGAACATTCAGTACTTGTAACATGCCATTGCTCAATACTCACCCTCCATGAAGGGATCACTGAAGATGTAAGTGCTACAGCAAATGGTGCTGAAGAAAGCAGATAGTGCCAGGCTATCAAAAAGAATAGCACCCGGGTCTTAAAGGCTTCTGCTTAAACATGTAACCATCTAAATGAAGCTCAACTAAATCTACATAGAAGAAGCACACCAGCCTGTGTGATCCAAAGGTGACAAATAACAAAATCTAAATATGATGGAGGGAAAGGTATCAGAGCTTAAACTGCGAACACCCAATTTGTAAAAGGCTAGGGAGGACAGTGGGAACCCAAAATCTATCCACACAGTACCTGTGTGTATTAAGCCTCTGGCAGAACCTCTGTAACCACAGTCAAAGGATG